GCATATGTAAAAGAAAAAAAAGAAAAAAAAAAAAACTGATATATAACCCCAAAACTTGTTGACCATAACTGCATGAATCAAAAAGAAAAGCATTTCTTATAGTTATTATGAAGCTTGTGTTTTTTATGTTTGAAATTTTCACCGTCATGATGCGGCAAATCATAGCCGAAGTAAGTGTTTATTACATTGCCAGAGTTTACATCTCATAACTATTTAATGAAATGTTTTTGGGACTTTTGAAGCAGTTAAATATGATATATATTCTTGAAATTTTATAGAATAAAGCAGAAACTGTATTAATGCCTTTTTACCAGTAGAATATAAATTCTGATAAATCCATCCATACTTCTAGTGATCATACTAGCAAAGTTGAGAGTAAGTGTTCAATAAACAAATGACAAAGGCTCAAGCAACGATTTATAAAAATTATTTATAGTCAACTACTAATCATTATTTGATTATTTACAATCAATAGACCTTCCACAGTTAGATATAAATGACAACATTCAACAATACACTCCTGTATTAAACTTGTTAAATAGCCGGTTTCGTTATTGTCGTGAAATTGTATGCACTTATGCATATGAATGTCTAACTCTTCATTGTAGTGATTGCATCTTTCTCTCCACATCAAGTAAAGGACATTGCATTCCTATAGATTGATCATCATAATATTACTGAATAAAAACTGATCTTTATGAGTAAATTGTTTTTTATTATTGCTTGATGGCGCGGGAAAGCTGGTTGATTGTAACTATCTAGTGATCAGGCGCAGCTGTTATGAACCTGCAGTACAACCTTGCGGAGTATGGAGGGTCGGGCATACACTTGAACAGGATTCGAGAAAGGTGAATGAGGTTCAAATTTTCAGCTGGAAGAAAAAAACCCTTCAGTAGGGTCCAAAAAGATGTGTACAATTTTTGAACCACATTCAGCTTTTTGAATCCTCTTCAAGTGTTCACCCTAGTTTGCAATAACGGGAAGCACATGATTTTGTTTGTCAGATGCTGTGCCACTGAACTTAACGGATGAGGAAACCAGTCCAGCATTGACTGACAGATTCACTGACTGTGGTCAGGGCTGGATGTTGGCTTCCTCACTGCAGATGCTTCGAAATATTTTTGAAAGTTTAAGGAGCAGCGGACACACTTTGTAGAGTCGGCAGTGCCTATTTTTTGTAGTGGCTAACAAGCGTGTATTCTTTTATGCTACCAATATATTCAGGACAAGAATGTAGACAGATATTTCCTGTTAGCCGAAAAAAAATGGGGGAGGAGCGAGTAACAGTGGAATCTTGAAGCTGAAAATATTCATTGGCAATGCATATCAATAGTTAACTACTTCGTCCACCCGAGGCTTAACGATGTAGGCAAAACTAATGGAAAAGCCAAAGCAGCCAAGGATCAGAAGCGTGTTCTAAAATCTATTCATCATATCCTGGGCCCCGATCACATCACCTTGATTGAGGAAGTCAACAAGGACGACGTTAGGCTTGCGGCCATGGATCGATGTGCATAGCTCGACCTGTGCACCGATACTTCCTTTCCCAATCGCAGAGTTAGTTCTTGGCGCTGACAGCCGGTCGGGAAACAGAACGCCGACCCTTTCTATGTCTAGATAGTGGTTCGCGATATACATCCTACCGTCCGGGTTCACGTTAGGTGGGCGGTCGATTTTACACTGCATAAAGAGTGGATCCGTGGTATCGAAGGGCGTTTCCCAGTAGTATAAGAATTCGTCAAGAATATACGGCACCCTATTCATATCGGCCAGATAATCTGTTTTCACACGTCCACATTAGCAACCGAAATTTCTTTATCTAGGGGAGCAAGCGTGAAATGAGACTTCACCAATACCAACCTAAGAATACGACAAGACGTTTACCAGATTGTATCATTTGTTGCAAAGTCGGCCATTCATCCATGGAAAGCTTATGCGGAGATGACGACGGAACGAAGGCATATGGCACAATGCCGCTGCCCTTGAATGCCTCATCGAATCGTGAGATATCCAATCTGTCTCCGTTTGTAATGAGGAGCGTGACCACTTCGTCTGGATTGTCATCGAGCCAACCCTTCACCTTGCGTAGAAATGTATCGAGGCCGCCTGCATTTTCCAGAAAGCATGAAGTGTGACACATGCGCAATTTGCCTCTTGCATTCAGGTGCGTTTGGCCCTGTAAATACCGCACCCCGAGGTTTAATTGGCCGACCACAGATATCTCTTGGTTGTGTTGGGGGAGGAATCCCACAAACGGTGAATTATGAGCCCCGACGAACGATAATTCTGAGTAGCGACGGCCGCAATATTCTGCACGTCCATTGCATTCGGTCTGGGCGAATAAGGCTAATGGTAGAAAGAGCATCAGCAGCACACAGAAGAGCATCATCATTTTAGAAAGATAGGGTGGAGCGTATTTAGAGAGTGTGATAAATAGGCAAGGACTTTTTTTTATGGATGGAAACCTCGCAAGTTGAAGTGTATAGGAAGTAAATATAGAGGTGAAAACGAATGTGACCTCGATGAATATATGACTGTCGGGTATAGCTATCATATATAGACGTAGCGAGAACCTGTAATGCAGGATGTTAAAGATGAAGCACTGTTTTCTGAGGAAATATATAGGCATGACCCCGATTGTTAGGAAGGAGTCCATTGGCAAGCAATTGTCATGACAGGGAAAGAGAATCTTGCTAGGAATGTCTGCTGGGAGTGTCGTTCCTTCGGCACGACAACGAGCCATTTTTGTTCTGCAATGAACGATCGAAGCGGTTACCGTACTGTATGCCCATCAATCTATCCCCCGGATATCTGATCTATAGGGTGAGCTTAACATTAGAACGGAGCGGATAACGTCTTTTCTGTTCTTTTCTTTTTTCTTTTCTTTTCTTTTCTGTTGGTTTGCAAGCTATCTATTTTCAACACAATAGAATTTTCTCAGGGTTGATTTTTTTCAAGGAGATCATAAAAAAGCCATCATGGGCTTAGGATGCTAGATAGGATAGCCTGCTGAAGTAGTACGATTGGGAGCTGGCAGGAGGGGTATGCACAGAACAAAGTGGTATGGGATCCAAATGACCACAAGGCACGGATTTTCAACATGCTATATATCGACCAACAATCTGTGGAGGAACCCGGATAGTATATTGAATCGCCTGCGTTAACCTCAAGCCACGAGGTTTGCGGGGAATATGGTTAAAGTAGCATGTGTATTCGACCAGACGAACATCATCTCTCAAATTCGAGCATCACCTAGCTCCCTGATAGTCCAAGTAAAGTTATAATCCAGTGCGTTAGTGTATTCAGAGGCGGGAGACTCCATGGAGCAGTGGAATTAGCTGTGATGGGCGTTGTTGTTCTGGTGATGTTGGATGAGGCTCCGGAGGTTGGCGCATGAGGTTGCCACGGACCCTAACTAGTTACTCCGTAGACGATTCGCTGCTGGCTTATTTAAAGCAAAAACTTGTGGACTGAAGCTTTCTCAGCGGTAAATAACGAGCCAACGAACACCCACCAACTCCTGTCGAACGATTTGGCCTCCTGTCGGCGTGGAGAGTGCTTTGACTTTCTTTGAATGGCACCAGCTGCATCATAAAGCGAGGTTTTGTTTCTGTTACTACTTGAGATTGCGCGAACCATAAAGCTCACAGTCCAGCCTCCTTACATACGCAACTGCCTAGCACCCGACCAACCCCGTCGTACTGCGCAGTGCAAATTTCCGGAAGCTCCTCATTAAACGGCGATAATCTGTAACGATTCTATTTCCCTTTTGAAGCTCTGTTGCGATTCCTGGACTGAAAAAAGTGGAATGCGATGGTGCTTCCACAACCCGACCCATGAGCTCCATGATCGAGGGGAGTGAGGATGGGGCTCGAGAGGATGAACCGCAGTTTGAGAATAACGACCATGAGCAATTCCCTGTAACACCGGGGTGGGAAGCCAATAATGAGGGTAAGCGGGAACAACATGAAATAGAGACTGGGCGGGATTCTTTCCCAGACGAGCCTTTATCGGCGACCAACAGTCGGGATCCTGCTCTGAGGGAGTCGGATTCTGCTCTTCACAGTGAATCCGGCGAGGTGCTATCGGTACATAATCGTGAGGTCAACAAGGGAATTGGGAGCGGGGATGATTTCGGATCAATACCGGATGACACTCCGTCGGTTCAAGTAAGCTGCTCTCGACCTTCTCGAGCACTTCTGTCTCCATGCTGTCTATTAACCTTCATAGGATTCAATTTTGTCATCGAGAAGTAGTGCTTTTGGCCTCCGTGGTTCACCGTCTAACCTGAGCTCCAGCCCTCATCGTCCGTTCGATCGGAGATTTCAGTCTCGTCTTTCGGTTTCGCTCCCAGGCGCCTTACGACCACGGTCCCCGTCATTAATAGGACCTCATTCACGAAACTCCTCAGTTAGTCACGTCATTTCCAGCACCCCAGATCTACTAGAAAGCCCTGCAGCACCATGGGAAGTAGTTCGATGGACGAAGCTCAGGAAAATCACTGGTCAAGCATTTTCGGAAGTGGGCAAGCGGAACTTCGGCCAACCTGCGTGTATCTCGATCTCTACCGCCATTGTCATCGGGACGGCCAAGGGTATTATAATGGTGTTTGACTACCAGCAAAATCTAAATGCTATCATTGGACCGGGAACAAAGGGTATTTTCCTTCAGCGTCTACGTCTTAAAAAATCAATGAAACTGACATCAAACATAGCTATTGAATCTGGTCCAATCACCTCCCTTGCAATTTCCGCTGATCACACTACAATTGCGGCTGGTCATGGCAGTGGCCATATCTTTACCTGGGAAATTTCGAAACCCGCGCGCCCATTTCTGCACATCCCACCAATACCAACCGGCCAGTTGGAGAACAAGCGGACTGACGGTCATATATCAGGTGTAGCGGTTATCCACCTGGGTTTCCTGGGCACAAGACACACTGCGTTAGTCTCCGCTGATGACCACGGTATGGCATTTTCACATCTTGCGAATAGAGGTATGGGGGCAGTTGGCCGAGTTGTGCGCACTACACGTATTTTGGGACGTTATCCCGATGCGGTACTGGTTGGTGGCCGACTTCGAAAACCAAGCTCCGTCCTGGCATTTTCTCCTCTGCCCCTAGGTAACGTCCCACAAGCAACGGACCCGATAGGTTTGGTTGCACTCCTCACCCCGTATCTTCTCGTGATTGTATCAACGACACCCGTTGCTCGAACTCAGTATAAAGCCCCTAGGCCAAAGGAAGTTGCTGCCCACAGTGCTCTGACGGCCGCGCTTGCTTGGTTTCCGGCCATAAAACTGAAAGGGAAAAATTCCGAAGCGTCGAAGACTAAATTGGTTTATTGTTGGTCGAATGTGCTTACAGTATTGGAGGTTTCGGAAGTAAAGTCTCCTGAACCTGCGGACAAGGATAGACCCCCCAGCTTCGAATTTAAACCGCGAAGTAGATGGAGAGCGGAAGAAGGGATTGTTGCTGTACAGTGGATAAGCCGTTCCGTCCTTGCAGTGATGACAATAACTCAGCAGCTGCTAATCTTGGAGGACAACACCTTGCGAATGACTGATTCCTTTGACCTCATACACAAGCACATCTATCACGTGGATATATTTTCGAAGCAACTCCACTCTCTCGTTGAGCAACTGGATGAGGAAGATGAATCGATGCATGGAGTAATTGCGGATGCTTTTTACATGAGCTTTAGAGCATACAAGGGACGACTATTTCTACTAGGCGTCAATGATATGTCAGTCGGTAGCCTGTCAAATTGGGCTGACAGGTTACTATCTCTTATGGAAGGTGGCGACTTCATTGGTGCCATTCGACTTGCAACCTCTTACTATACAGGCAATACTGAAAAACTTACCGTCGGCCTCCCAGAGGAGGATAATTTGCGCCATCAATTAGTACAAGAGAAGTTGTTGGAAATGATCTCCGCGTCCATCAGATACGCATTTGGAAGAAATCAAGAAGCACCCAACGAGCGCCTCAGTCCAAGCCAGCTTGAGGAGCTTGCTGATTCCTGCATTGCAGCTTGCGACGCCCTGCAAGATTATGAATTTTTATTTAACGAAGTTTATAGTTGGTACGAGGAATGTGGTTCCGAAGGTATAATTTTGGACACCCTCGAACCTTACATCGTACAAGGCAGTATTCGAACCTTGCCTCCTACCGCAGTTAAATCATTGATCACCCACTACATAACGAACCATACCGCTACTCGACTGGAAGAAATCATTTGTTTACTTGATACATCAACGATTGATATTGATCAAGTTACGTCGTTGTGTAAACAACATAATTTATATGATGCGTTCATATATGTGTGGACGCGTGCGTTAGGCGATTATGTTGGGCCACTTGTTGAGCTCATCCATTTGATTCACCAACATACGGCTCCTAATGTTAATGGAAATGCAGATGTCAAAGCAAAGGATCTTTTTAATGCGATGAAGATGTTCCCTTACCTGTCGTATGTGTTGACTGGCAGAATATACCCCACCGGAGAAGATTTACCTGATCTTGAAGCTTCGAAGGCGAAAGCTGCCATTTACGATTTCCTTTTCTCGGGAATTTCAGTGACTTCAAGTTCAAAAAAGGCTGCTTCTCAGGACTCCTTTCTTGACCTTCAAACGATCCTTGAATTCGATACGCCTAGTTTCATGAGTATGCTTAACGAAGCCTTCGAGGACAGTTTCTTAAACGATGCCACTGATCAAGCCAGCAATGGAGCAATTATGCCAACTTCTAACGATTCTCCTACCCATGGCCTATCTATTAACCGCCAATACTTAATCAGTATTTTACTTGAAATTATGGAATCTTCCAACTTTGGCCTAGAGAACACCGTCTATCTTGATATGTTTATTGCCCGGAATCTGCCCAAATACCCTCAATATATCCTCCTATCGGGATCAACGCTGCAACAAATACTGATGAGATTATGTCGCTATCCTAATCCGGAAATGATAGGCGACTGCCAGCTCAGCGTAGAATACCTTTTGTCAATATATCGCCCGCCCGATATCCAAGCTTTAATTCCCTTGCTAAAACAAGCGAAGTTTTATCGAGTCTTGAAATCTATTTATAAAGCAGAAAAACAATTTCCCGATCTTTTGTTGACTTATCTGAA